CCCCACTTCCCATCCAGCTCCCTGCTTGTGGCCTGGAAAAGCAGTCGAGGATGACCCAAAGCTTGGGACCCTGCACAGGTGTGGGAGACCTGGAGAAGGCTCCTGGCTCCTGGCTTCAGATTGGCTCAGTTCCAGCCATTGCGGCCGCTTGGGGAGTGAATTAACAGATGGAAGATCTTTCTCTCTGTCTCTCCTCCTATCTGTATATCTGACTTTCCAAGAAGAATGAGTAAATCTTAAAAAAAAAAAAAAGAAAAAGCAAAACAGCCCACTACATAGTATTTCTAAAACATATTTAAAGAAAATTATAAAATACTAATACAAATTGAAGAGGAAATAAAAAATTGGAAAAAAAAAAAACCCCTCTTATGTTCCTGGATTGGGAGGGTTAATGTTACTAAAACGCCGATGCTAAACAAAGCAATTTGCAGATTCAATGAATTCTCATCAAAACATCTATGACGTTCTTCACAGAACTAGAAAATCAATCATGAAATCCATAGAGAAGCGTGAAAGATCACCAGTAGTCCAAGCAATTTTGAATAAAAAAGAAAAAAAATCAGGAAGCATCATTAAACCTGATTTAAAGACATAAAACAATGCTATTATAACCAAAACAGTATGTTATACCACACACACACACACACACACACACACACACACATCCCAGTGGAACAGAATAGAAGATTCTGGAAATGGACATAACCAATTATCTGCCATGTCACCAAAAACACACACCGAAGACAGAGGAGTCTCTGTAACAAATGGTACTGGAAAATTGTTTATATGTAGAAAATTGAAACCAGTCCTCTTCCCAGCACTGTAACAAAAACTGATCTCAAAACAGATCAAGACATAAATGTAAGAACAAAAACTATGAATCTGTTAGAAGAAATCATTGGGGAAGCACTTTAAGGCATCTATTCAGCCAACAACTTTTTGGATAAGAACCCAAAAGCAAAGGCAATGATAAGGCCCCAGGCAAGTAATGCAAATTTAGGCAAATGGGATTATAGCAAACTGTGCTCCTGCACAGCAAAGGAAGCAACACAAAGAAAGCAAAGACAGCAAACATAATGGTAAATATTTGGTAATTATGAAGAATTAATGCAGGGTATATAAGGAACACTATAAGAAAGAAGTCTTAATATTCCCATTTGAGAACTGAAAATACTCAACATCAAAAATCAGACAATCCAGTTGAATGGATAAAAGATTTGAAAAGACTTTACCAAAAAAGTGCAGGGCCAACACTGCACTGATTGGAATCCAGCTGCTGCACTTCCGATCAAGCTCTCTGCTAATGAGCCAAGGAAACATCAGAAGATCTTTCAAGTGCTTGGGCTCCTGTAGCCATATGGGAGACCTGGAAGGATTTCTTAGCTCCTGGTTCCAAATGAGCCCACCTCCAGCTGTTGTGGTCGTTTGGGAAGTAAACCAGTGGATGGAAGATTTTCATTCTCTCTCTCTTTCTATAACTCTGTCTTTCAAATAAATAAATAAATAAATCCTTTAAAAAGTGAATGCAATGCAAATAACCGTAAAATATGTGAAAATGCTCAACATATTAGCCATCAGAGAAATGTAAATCACAACCACAATGAGACATCCTCTTACTCCAGTTAGAATAACAAGGATCAAAAACCTAAAGAATGTAGATATCTACCAAATGAAACAGTAATCCCACTTCCAGGACTATATCCAAATGAAATCAGCATGTCAAAGATTTACTTGGACCTCCATTCCCATTGTAGATTATTCACAATAGCCAAGATATTAAATTAAACTAGGAATCCACTGAAGAATGAATGGGTAAAGATAGTGTGGTATATATGCACAAAGAAATATTATTTAGGCACAAAAAAGAATGAAATGCATCTGCAGCAAAATGGATGAAACTGGAAGCAGTTGGGCTATGCGAAATCTGGCAAGACAAAAATTAAAATATCTCATACTCTTTCCTATATGTGCTGAGTAAAATGTCAATCTGAACTTAGAATAGTGCAAGAAGTAGGAGGAGAAAGGAAGGAGAAATTGGATAATGGATACCAAAATATAGTCAGATAAAATATGTTCTAGTATTCCACAGCAGTGAGATGGCTATAGTTCACGTGAATATATTATATGCAGTATAAAGAACTGGAAGAGAAGGACTGCTAAGCTACATAGGCAAAGAAAAAATAAAGATTTGAGGCCCAGCACTGCAGCCTAGTGGCTAAAGTTCATGCCTCGTATGCATCGGGATCCAACATGGGCGCTGGTTCTAATCCTGGTTGCTCCACATCCATTCCAGCTGCCTGCCTGTAGCCTGGGAAAGCAATTGAGGATGCCCCAGAGCTTTGGGAGGGGGCTCCTGGCTTTGCATTGGCTCAGTACCAGCCATTGAGACCACTTGGGAAATGAACCAGCAAATGAAAGACTTTCTCTCTGTCTCTCCTCTCTGTATATCTGCCTTTCCAATAAAGATAAATAAATCTTTAAAAAAAGGAAAGATAAAGAAATGGAAATGTTTATTGCTTATGTTGATCAATTTACACTATATACATCTATTAAAATATTATACTGCACTTCATAAAAAAGTGTATTTCATATTAATCAAAAAAATTTTTTTAAAATTTAAATTAAAGAAAAAGGACCCAGTGCAATGGCTTAATGACTAAATCATCTCTTGCAAGTGCCAGGATCCATATGGGTGCCAACTTGTCCTAGCTACTCCACTTCCAATCCAGCTCCCTGATGGTAGCCTGAAAAAGCAGTAGAGGATGGCCCAAAGCCTTGAGACCCCACACCCATGTAGAAGACATGAAAGAAGCTTCTGGCTCCTGGCTTTAGATAACTCAGCTCTGGCCATTGTGTCTATTAGGGGTGTGAACCAGAGGATGGTGGATTATAGGAGGACATTGTGACCCTAGAAGGTCAGGGAGCACAGGATTACAGTTGATTGGACAATATTTGTATGATAAACAACTGAATGGGTGCCTTTTGTGTGACTGATTGGATATCCTTTGCATGAGAACAACCGAATGACTATCTTTTGTATACCTGATGGGAGATTATTTGTATAAGAACAGTTGAGTGGAAAGTATGTGTATGAGAACACTTGGTGCAATATACAAGACTTCCAAACAAAAGTATAGAAACAGTTGATGGGTTTGTTGATGAGCTAAATACCTCCACCCTAATTCTATATGGCCCTCAGTGTATAAAGTCTGTTGCCCCTAATAAATTTTGGCTATTGATCATCAGTCAGTAGTCCATGCGTGTTATTATCACCTCCGTGCACCAAGTCCATCGCTGCAGGACAGCGACAATGGATCTTTCTGTCTTTCCTTCTCTCTGTAAATATGTTCTGCCTTTCCAATAAAAATAAACATTTTTTTAAAAAATTCAAAAACAAATCTAAAGGGTGTAACATGGTGCTGAACACAAAGTATATGTCCAATAAATAGTTGCAATTATTCTGAATATTATTATGTCAGAGAGAAACGGCATTGAAGGTCATATGAAAGCCAACTATCAAAGATGTTATAATCTGAAAAAACACTCTAGCAATTGGACCAGCACCAGAACCATCTTAAAAACTCTGTGTCTCCTCCCACCTTAAGCACCATCTTTTTGGAGACCTTGGTGCCATGAAAGCCCAGTGGAGGAAGTACAGGCAGAAAAAAGAAACGTGAGGCAGAGGCCCAAGTGAAGTGCTCACTTGTACCTGCGTCGGCAATGAAGCAGAAGTCAGAGGTTCCAGACCCGGGGATGCCGGCACCAGTTGTTGGACTGTGGGCTATCAGCGACAATTTGTCTCTCTATGCATCTGAAACTTCCATCAATGACAGAACACCGAAACCACCAAGACTCACTTTGCTGACACCAACACAGTCCTTGATGGCCAAAGGGCCCTGGGCCTGTGATGTTCTGGAATAGTTCTAATCTCTGTTCTGCTGTTTTGACTGAAGAACACAAAAGCTGAATAAAACCAGACTAGGTCACTACGTCAACTGATCTTTAGTTTAAACAGTAGCAAATGCTTCATAATTGAAATGAACTCCGTGTAGAATGGTAATAACATGGTGTCTTTTGAGGTACGCCCAGCTGAGTATATTGACAATTGAGCTTCCTTTTTGCAAATTCACCTAAGTCGTGGCATTCTTCTGGTCATTTCTGATTAATTCCCATTCACACAATTGTTAACCATTTCTCTCAGTTTGTACCAACATTTATGGACATCTAACAGTTCCCAATTGGTATATTCTTCTTCTTGAAGATTCTAGAAACTACTGGAAAACTCGAAGTTTACCATCCACCATGAATTTGTTCTTTTATTTGTGGTATGTCTGGAATGATAATGTACACATTTTTGGTAAATCATCATGGAACACAACTGCATAGAATAAACAGCACAAAAGCCACCAGTAGTGTTGTATTGTATAATTAAGGGTAACATAATAGAACTCTTGCCAGTTATTTATTTGTTTGTTTTTGTTTATTTATTTATTTTAAATATTTATTTATTTTATTGGAGGGGAGAGACAGAGGAAGATTTTCCGTCCGATGATTCACTCCCCAAGTGACCACAATACCTGGAACTGAACCAGTGTGAAGCCAGGAGGTGAGGCTTCTGCACAGAGACAAACTGCCTTATAAGTGTACTTAGCATAGCATGAACTCAGGCATGTAGCAGAGGCAAGGTGCTTTCATTCACCGGAGTTGTTAAAACAAAATGCCATAGACTGAGTAGCTTATAAAAAATAGGATTTATTTCTCACACTTGTGGAAGCTGGGAAGTCCAGTATCGAGGCATCAATAGAGTTGATTTCTGTTCAGGGTTTGCTTTCTACTTCACAAAAGGCATCTTTTCATTATGTTCTCATGGCTGAAGGGAGGGTGAGCTATTGGTGTCTCTTTATTGAAGGCAATGATCCCAATGGTGAGGGCTCTGTCTGCATGATTTAATCATCACCCAAAGGCCACACCTCCTTACATCATTTTTTTTGGGGGGGGGGGCAGGTTGGGATTTAAGCATACAGACTGGGACATCCAGACCAATAGTACCAATGAAACACTAGCATATAAGACACTGAAGGGGAGCATAACTGGATGGCATAGAAGTATACCCCAGAGTCCACCCTGGCTTTTGTTAGGCGGGGGCTTCTCCACCTAGGCACTAATGATATCTTGGTACAGGAAATCTTTTGTTGAGAGGCTGTCTTGTGCATTATGGGATGTCAGCAGCACCCCTGCTTTCACTTTGTAGAACCCAGTAGCACGTACATCCCCACCCGCAAGAGTAACAACCAAAATGTCTCCAATGATTGCCAAATGCCCTGGAAGTATATTGAACTTTAGTTGTGACCCCTGAATTAAATCTACTTCATTGCTCCTTTTTAAATTGCCAGATTCTGATGGAGGCAACAGAAGAAAACTCCTGATCCAGAAAAAGATGCAGAATTAAGCTGTCCTATTACCAGAGAATATACCAGTGGAACCAAACTCCAGGGATCAGTTGGCATATGTTTATTTACACTCACCTTCCTCCATTGTTCTTTCAAAACATAGTACAACTACTTATGCATATGTGCAAGACAGAAAGAGAAACAAGGGCAGAGCTGCATTTGTTGAAGCTGGTGGAGCAATATCATGGGCAAATCATTGGCTTCTATTCTGCAGGAGCCTGTGTGGGCTCAGGCTTCAGGCGGCCAGACAGGTCCCTCAGTTCTATGAGCAGGTGACCAAGGAGAGCTTTCACATCCTGCATGTGTTTCAGAAGAATGCTCATCTGGTGGTACAGATGGGGGTCCGGGGCCCTCAGAGGAGAAGTGAAGCCTGGCTCCTCAGCAGAAGGGGTTGACAGCGGAGGCGGAGGTGGAGGCACAGGGGGCTCGGTGGGCGGAGTGTCCGGAGCAGCTGACTTCTGAGGAGATGGATTGAAGGTCATTGATGCAGCAGAGCCGGAAGGACCTGGATTGCAGGGCAGGAGGCATGTGCAAGGATGGAGTCTGACCCTGCTCTACTCTCATAGTGCTGTTCACTCTGTCTTGTTCTCCGAAGGTGGCTGTGGGGCCCAGTGGGACCCTGGGGCCCTCTTGATCCTAGTTTTAGTCTAAAGTTTTGGTACTTCTGCTTAACAAGCTTCAGGGATGAAGCCTTGTCATCAGACCACTATGATGGCTGGCCAGCTCCTCTCTAGCAAGGCAGAATCTCATTCTCCGAAGCATGGCCCAGGGTCAACTCTTATATTGTACGTGGCATTAACCTAATCCCCCATCTTGAGGATCATTTTTATGGCCCCTGAGTCACCTCTATTTCAGGAGGAGCACTCCTCATCTCTCCCATTATTTCTCACATCCTATGACCTCAAGCTTCCTCTTCACCCTTGATATGTCTTCTGGTCTATTTTAAATCAAATGCAACTTTCTTACTGGTAGCTCCCAGAACTGATGGTTAACTCCAGACTACCTCTTTATCATTCCAGATGAGGACATTCTGTCATATCTATTATACACTCTAAATGCCCAGAGATGATATTAGACGCCTAAGGTCTATGGGGCAGCAGGTGTAGAGCTGGCTTGGGTCTTTGGGTTCTCCATTTGTGCTCTCTTTCATCCTCTGGGTCTCTAGCTTACTGCTCCTTCCTCCCTTGTGTTCCTTCTTAACATTATCACACTGAATTCAGGTTCATGGGCCCCTCCCTCCCATACACACACATGCAGAGACCCATAATACTAACTCACCATGCACCTGGATCTCCAGCTGAGGGCTCTGTTTCCGAACCTGGTTGTCCTCAGTGACCGCCTCACACCAGTAGGTTCCAGAGTGCTCTTCTGCAGCTGTGGGGATCTGGAATTCTGAGGAACGACTCCTGCTGCGCACTCGCTTTCCATCCTTATAGAAGGAGAAGCGGAGGCGAGTGGCTGACTTCTGCCGGGGCAGCTTGGTCTGACAGCTCAGGGTCACCAGGCTTCCCTCTTTGGGCTCAGAAGATGTAGCTTGGAGTGCTGGAGCTGGGAATAGTTCTAGGGAGGAAAGAGGTGAGACAGAAAAGCTCAGCTTATTCTGTATTCTGTATGCAAGACAGGAAAATAACCCCAGTCATACTTCTTTTCCCTGATTTCCACCAGGAATGAGCTCTCAGGAAAGTTGCATTTGAGCCTTTCAAGTTCTGATTATCTTCCAGCAAGCAGTCAGGGCTAGGAAAGATCCCCAGGATCTTCTCTAACAGTCAAGAGACCCCATCAGAAAACACTGGCAAGCAGAGATTTAGATGGTGCAAAATGTGATGGCTGGGTAGGGTTGAGTGACTTGAAAAACCAAGCATCGAGGTCTCGCGCCTCCTGATAGTTCAACTTGAGCATTTTTCAGCAACCTGTTTCCCAGGCCTGCAGTGATCCTTTCCTCTTTTGAACACACTTCTGAGCTCTTTGACCTGCTCCATGTGTCTCCACCCTGGCCATGCTTCTAACTCTCACCTTGGACTGTGATAGCCACAGCTGATGCTGTTTCTGGACTTCCGGGACCAGGGCTCCTGAAGACGCCACTGCAGTGGTAGCGCCCACTGTCTGTCACTTTCGCCGCAGCAATGGAGAAGTCCCTGTTAGGCCCAGCGGGACCCAGGGCTAAGCCATCTCGGTAGAAGGTGACCTGAGTCAGTGGCCAGTCTTGCCAGGCTCGACAGCGCAGAATCAGCGGGTCCCCTTCAAACAGGTGACTGGATGGACTTTGGAGGATCAGCCAGTCTGTGGCCAAGAGAGAGAGACAGAGAAAGAGAGAGAGAGAAGGAGAGAGAGAGAAAGCTAATGTCACCCCTGTTTTTCATGGTGGGGGAAATCTCCCAGGGATACTTGCAATGGGATTCAAATAACTCTCACCCCTGATTGAGAATGTGGCATATCTTCTCTAGGGCTTAGGACTGAGGATAACCCCAATTGCTGTGGGTTGAAGGTAGGAAAGAAAATAGCTCATCCTAATGCCAGTGTTCTGGGAAAACCTTCCTGAGGGACATGTGGGATTGAAAGGGGGGGTTTAGGGCACCAGACAGGCCTTCCCAGGACCTCACCATAGGACACGATCAGATGGAATGGCTCACTGAAAGTGTAGCCCCTGACTTCGTAGTCATCTTCGCTTAAGTCAGTCAAGTCATCCTTTTTGTGGCAGCTGCTCTCTCCAGTGCTGAAGGGTCCTTCACACTGTGGAATCTCAAGATTGGCAGTGGAAGAGGGCATGGCCCAGGAGGATCCAGACGGTGATGCTGGAATTTACAGAAACAGGACAGGAAATTACCCTCTGCCAAAGGTTCCCCTGCTTTAAGAAGGAGCCACAACCCCCTTTTTTCCCCAAGAGACCTCTAAGAGTCTTAAATGGTTAATTTTAAGCTCAGCTCACTGGTATTCATGGCTGTGATCTCAGGAAATTGGAGCTATGGTTTAAGGAAGACAGAAGGAGAGAATTGAAGACGGTGAACTCACCAGCATGATCTCTGGCTGTTGGTACAGGAAGCCAGATGCCAATGATGAGGGTGAACCCAGAGCAACAGGTATAGGACAGGAGGAAAAGGAAGACATCAGAGCCTAACAGCCATTGCCAGCTGCCAGCATTCTTAGGCGTGACCCTATTTCATTGTCACCCACTTTCATTATGTAGGTGACCTCTTTCCCTCATTGTGAATCATGAGAAAGCAGGCATAGAAAAGTAAATGAACACATCTAAAACTTTGTAAAAGAGAAAGTAAAGGAGCAGGAAAGATGTCTCCATCGTGTTATCATGGTCTCCTCCTTAGGGACTTTCTTTCATACATTCATTTTCTCAAAATTCATTTGACTCTTAAGACTTGATTATACCAAAGAGCTTTCTGTAGGAGCAGTATCTCTTCCTTCTCCCTCCTCCTTTTAAGTCTTCAGGGTTTTTGGCTTTTGTTTGTTTTGGGTATCTTTCTTAATGTCTTCTCTTCCTTGAACTTTCCCTTGGAAAAGAACCTTTTCTCAGTCCTCTCCACCCCATACCCACTCCTCTCCATCCACTTTGGTAACTGCAGAATCATGTTTGTTTCTGAGTTGAAACTTACCATTACAGATTTTTGACTGGATCTGCTCCACCTATCCCTTTCCTCAGTGATTTAATCCAGGCAGGATAGACCCAATTTATGCCATCTCCTGCTTCCCCCAACCCCTCCCAGCCATGGCCATTCATGCTTCATGCTGCTCACTTATTCCCTCTATTTCTTCCTTTCCCACTTACCTTTGTTCCCCTCCAGTCCCAAGGGCCCACCTGTGTTCTTTGACCTTGTGACTTCCCTTACCAAGGTCCCTTTCTACTTCCTGATTCTCATCATCTCAGGTCCAGGTGCTTGCAGCAGAGCCTGCCCGAGCTCTCTTCCGTGTTCTCTATCTCCTTTCGGTTCCTCCCCTGCCTCTCAACTGGACTCAACTGCCTCCGTTCTTTTCATCTTTAAAAACAAAATCTGGTTGAGCCACCACACACTTTCACTCGATACCTCTCACGTGCTAGATATTGTTACTCTCATTTTACACAGGAGAAAGTCAAATTGGAGATAGAAAAAAGGTCCCTTTTCCACGGTAATAAGGAGCTGATAAATCAGAGAGGGACTTGAAATCAAATTATCTGATTCCAAGACTACAGTTTTTGCAAAGCCTTGGAGACGAGTAACAGTCTATGCTATAAGTGGATTAGAATTCATTAAAGCATCAATTTCAGGCTCACAGGGTGACAGTAGAAGCTAAAGAGGTATAATAGGTGCCAAATCATGTGAACTTTTGTGCCACAATAAAAAACTACAAAGGACAGGCAAACAGGAATTTAGCAATTACTCTGAAGAGTACATAAATCATTTCAAAGACAAAAGACTGAGACAAGTGAGGCCAGTATTGTGGTGCCATGGGTAATGCCACTTCCTATTTTATACTGTCAGTTAGATTCCTGGCTGCTCTACTTCTAGTCCAGCTTCCTGCTGATAGTGGAGCCTGGAATCATTCTAGTCTAACCTTAGCAACTAGGGCATGAACCAACAGAGAGAAACCCTCTTTTCCTCTGTCTCTTCCTCTGTCCTGTCACTCTGACTTTCAACCAAATAAATTTTAAAATAAACAAAGTTATGGCTCAGTCCAAGTTACCAATAATGAGGGTTCCTCTTAGGAAATCAATGATGTTTCAGAGAAGGGAGTGGCTCTAAGAATAATTGATGATTGGCCAAATGGAGAAAGTGACAGGGCGAAGTCCAGGTTGCTTTTCGGGTTTTTACTCTGGGTTTCAGGGTGGATGTTAACACCATCAAATGAGATCACAAATAATGCGAGGCGAATTAGAAGCGATGGGGCTCCCAAAGACAGATTAACTCAGTTCTGGTCACATCATGCTGAGATACTATGAGACATGTAGATGGATGTGTATGGCGCAAAGCTTAAAAACTAAATATGAAACTCAAAAGCATGCCTAAAGAGATTGTTTGGTCTCTTAAAAATATAGTTGTAATGGGAAAAAATGATTCAAATAAGCTTTTTTGAAGCAGATTGTGTCAAGAAAGCAGAAGCTGAAGGCAAAGGTGTAGGTACAGAGAAGCCTGTAATTTAAGAGGAAGAAAATTGGTCACTGAGGAGCCCAAAGAAGTACCTGTAGCACAAAAAAGAAGAGAGTTCCATGGAAGAGAACATCACACAGGACTAAAGAATCATAGGTGCCTCTACGCACCAGAGAAGATCAGCAGGCCGAGAACCAAAAGGTGTAACTGCGACCTGGCTAACATGCAGGTCACTGCTCTGTGCAATACCGAATGCAGTGAAAGCCTGACGGCAAGCCACAAGGAGTGAGACAGTGGGGAGAGTAAGTGCAGACCACTTTTGCAAGAACCTTGTCTCAAAAAGGAGTAAGTGTAGATTGCAGCTAGAGAGGATGTCACATTCATAGGAAATTGTAAAAATGGAAAAGGCTTGAAGAAATCTCACGTTCAGCCTTCATGTCTACGTACCAAGCACTCTCACACCTTGCCTCTGATCTTACCTGAACACTGCTTGCTTCTCAACTCTTCTCTGAAGCAGGTGTATCTCCATTCCCACACCCACACTCAAATATTCTACTTACCCAAGAACACCAAAGTTGCCCAGAGCATTGCAGGAGAAAGGGAGAAAGCCCAGGTTCCGAGAAGTGATCCTAGCATCATGATGATTGTGTCTGAGACTCCTCCAACCCCAGCACACTGATTTTCTGCAACACGAAACCTCTTAAATTAGAAAACAGGAAGTAAACCTAACTGTCTCATCTCCTTGCATCTGGGGTCTATTTTCAAGTTTGTGATTGGCTCTCATCATTCAGATTTGGCCAGGTTGACTCCAAGGTCAATCATGGGGCTGTGGATCAAATGTGGGAACTCTAAAACGTTCAAGAATTCCCTTCTCACAGAGCTCAGGGACCTTTCAAAGCATGTACTTATAGAGTAGCCAACTGGCCTTCATGTGCACTCTGGGAAAAATCAGTGAAAGGACTTTCCAAGTTCTTTGGTGAAGTTCCTGGGGGAGGGAGGTAGGAATTTGCTTGAAGGCTATACAGAAAGTCATGGAACATCAAGGGTGCAAGCACATCCTACTCCAATTCAGGTGTTCCAATATCTGGTGACTAGACCATAGCAAGTTGGGAGCAAGAAGATCAGTAATGGCATTAATGTAGGTATCAGATTATCCCCTGGCAAGTTCTGATCATCCAAATCTCCACAATTTGTACAAAAATTTCTCTAGACTTGGCTTTCAGTTCTTTCTGTCTGCACAACTAAAGCTGTTTGGGTCTCAGTAGAAAACTGAGTAAAGAGCAGGAAAAGTTCTCTGAGGACTAGCAAAGGGAGAAAGAAGATCACCCTTCAGAGGACCCAGCAAGAAGCCCAGGGTTCAGGCCCATGGGCAAAGCTCAAGCCACTGATCCTGAGGAAATTAGAGACATGAGGCATCTGATAGCTTGGGAAACCTGAGGAGATAGGAACAGGGGCGATATGAAGGCTGCCAGTGGCCTTATGGGAACCGGCGTCCCTGCCTCTGAATGCCTCCTCCACAGCAGGGCCCCTGTCTTTTCTCAAATGCCATTCCTCCCCCTTCCATTGCAGCACCGACCAGGCTCCTAGTGGGTCATTTGGAGATGAGACAGCCATCAGAAATGGAGAAAGTTGGGTTGGGGGTGGGGGCAGCAGGACCACTCAGCTGTGCAAAAACCACCGAGCAGAGCAGACATATGCGCAAAAGGGGAGCAAGATAGTGGATCTTTCTCAATCTAAAATAAGCATTTAGAACGAATTTTCCATTATCTGAGAGGCATGCTCTTGTGTCAATGGCCCTAGGGAATCCAGGGGTGGTTGAAGATGGGTGTGGGGCAGGCAGTGAGGCAGTAAGTCTTGCAGCTGACTCGATATAAAAGACTTAGTAACCCCAGAAGAGGAAGAAAAGGCTAACCAGCCAGAGTAAAAATGAAATAAATGAGATGTATTTAGTTAGCCTGCATGTCTGAATTCCCTAAAGCCTTAGAGCCTCAGGGCTGGACAGCGCCTAAGGGGCTTCTAAACAAATCAGAACATGAAGTTTGCATTGTCATGTACTTTCACATTAAATTTAGAATCAGTACATCAATTAACATTTTTAAAATTTTTTAGTCTGCTGAGATTTTCACTAGGACTACCTTTCTTCTCTGGATCAGTTTGGAGAGAATTGCTATCTTATTACTGGTTCGTATGATTCATGAAAACCATGTGTCTCTCCATTTATGCCTATCGAAGTATTCCTTAAATTCTCAATAGTTTTCAGTATATAGGTCTTGCACATCTTTCATCAAATTTATTCCTATCTACTTTACGTTTGTGATGTTACAGTAAGCAATATTTAAAATAAATTTAAGATTATTCATGTTTAGTGTGAAGAAACACAACTGAGTTTTGTACATTGACTTTGCAACCTCTTCCAACCAGTGGCCAATTCCAAATGCTTACAATAGCTAGGGCTGTGCCAAGCTGAACCAGGAGCCTGGAATTCAAACTGAATTTCCCAGGTGAGTGGTTGGCACCTAAATACTTGAACCATCATCACTGCTGGCTCCCAGAATGCACACCATCAGGCAGTTAGGAATGGAAGTAGAATGCAGACTCCAGCCAGACACTCCAGCCACGCAATGCAGGCAGCCCCAGTAGCTTCCTAATTCCTGAGTCCAATGCCCATTTCAGTTGTACCTCTTGACTTCCAATGTGCACAGTTTTTGTTTTTCTTTATTGCTTATTGCATCGACTGCAACTTTCAACATTATGCTTACTGAGAATGATGAAAGAGCTGACTCCCTTACCTTCTTCACTTTCTTCCCAGTCTTAGAGGAAAACAAGCAATCTCCCACCTAAATTGATGTTAGATATGGATTTTTAAAATTGGCATACCACTATAGGGATCCATCTTGACACAATTACAGTCATCTTGCTCTTTAGGTGATCCTAGTAATCACCTAAAGCCATATGAGAATAATGAGGTCATTAAGATAATCTGCCGGGCCCAGCGTGACAGCCTAGCGGTTAAAGTCCTCGCCTTGAATGCACCAGGATCCCATATGGGCGCCAGTTCTAATCCTGGAGGCCCCGCTTCCCATCCAGCTCCCTGCTTGTTGCCTGGGATAGTAGTCAACGATGGCCCTCCTTGCTTCGGATTGGCTCAGCTCCAGCCATTGCAGTCGCTTGAGAAGTGAACCATCGGATGGAAGATTTTCCTTTCTATCTCTCTTCCTCTCTGTATATCTGCCTTTCCAATGAAAATTTTTAAAAATCTTAAAAAAAAATAATCTGCCAAGATTTGCAAGCTGGACACTGTTGTTTGGAATGTAATATTTCTTGAGAAAGTCCACATATATTCTAGTTATCTCTGAGCCACATTTACATAATAAAAGCCTCTTTTCCCACCTTGTGGCGTGGGATCATTTGTCTTGTAGACACACAGTTCACTCTTCTCTGATAAAGGACACACTGAGAGATACGGAACTTGTCTTTCTCTTCCCTCCATCTCATGGCACCTTCTGACTTTGCAAGCCATACACTGATTTTCCCCAAAATAATAAGGTTAAGGAAGTTTTCTCTGATGGCTAACAGACTGAAAGGATTTATTGTTGTTGCTGTCTGTTTTATAGTTATCATTAATATATGTTGAATTTTAGCAAATGCTTAATCTGATGTATTGAATTGATGATTGTTTTTGTTCTCCAATCTGCTAACACAGTAAAGAATGCCCATTGGTTTCAAAATGCCCGAACTTACATGGGTTGAGAAGTATTATGCTCTTATACATTGTTGAATTTATTTGTTAAAACTTCATTGAAATTTTTTGCATCTGTGTTCATGAACGATTTTGGTGACTGGATTTCATTCCTTGTAATATTTTTACCAGGATGTCTGAATTGGAAAGTATTTTTTCTCTCTGATTTTCCAGATTTTGGGTGAAATTTGTATTATTTAATCCTTAGGCATCTGTTAGACTTCAGAAGTTAGTTAGGTCATCTGGGTTTTGGGCTTCCTTTGTGGGAAAATGTTGATAATAAATTCAATTTCTTAAATAGCTTTAGGGCCATGGAGGTTATTTCTTCTTCAACTATCTTGGATAATTTATGTTCAGCTAACAAGGAATTTTTCCATTGTAAGTTTTTAAAATTTATTTATGTAAAGTTTTTTTTAAAAAAAATCATCCATTTATTATCTTTTCATTGTGCAAGATGACACTGTGTCTACTGAGCACTTGTAGGACTTGCTGGCAATCTATAGGATCTGTACCATGTTGTTTCACTCACTTTTACAACTTGGAAAGGTACTGCTGCAGTACCTTTCACTTTATACATCTTGATTTGGGTTTTTTGTGTATTTCTTCCAAGTTTTAAAGAAGAATGAGAAGAAGAAAAAGAAGAAGGAGAAGGAGGAAGAAGGAGGGGAGGAGTAAGAGGAGGAGGAAGGGGGGAGAGGGGAGGAGGGAGGAAAAAATGGAGGTGTGGTGAGTGAAAGGACAAGGAAGAATGCACTCAGAGCCACTTTCAGATTGCTCAGTCAGACAAAGCGTGAGCTGACATGGCCCTTTCTGGATGTCTGTTCCGCCCACTCCCTGCCAGTTTAAGTTTCAGAATTGCACAGTCAGAAAGAGTGCAAGAGATGCTTAAGTGCTTCACACAGCACACCTCTCCCCTATTGTTTATTAGCCAAATGGTGGTGTGGCTTGCAGTGCTCAGAGGAAGACAACTCACTCCCCCTAGATCACTAATTTTCACAAAGAAAACACACATTCGTGTAAGACATGGCCTGGGTTAGTCCTTCAATCAGACTACTGGCAGCACAAAAGAGAATGAAAAATAATTCATAAAATATGGTGATTTGAGCTCTTACCAATGGAAACTGAAATTGCTGCAGTTCTTGACAGAAAAAAAAAATATATATATATACATATTTTCTACTCTCTTCTATGCATAGGGGCCATGCTAGTCTTCTCTGTATTGTTCCAATTTTAGTATATGTGCAGCATTCAACAAAATAGCACCTCAACAAAAGGCATCATGAGCTGGCAAAGCAGCAAAGGATGGCCCAGGTGTTTTGGCCACTGCACCCATATGGGAAATGTGGAAGAAGCTCCTGGCTCCTGACTTTAGCCTGGCCCAGCTCTGGTGATTGCATCCCTTTGGAAAGTGAACCAGTGGAGAGAAGATCTTCTTTTCTGTCTCTCCCTCTCTCTACATACTGTCATTCAAACAGAGATTGAATGACAAAAATAAATTCAAATGAAGTTGAATTGTGGATTTCTTTTTGAAAATAATTTTGGCAGGGTACAGTGTTTTTATTTATTTATTTATTAGAAAGTCAGATATACAGAGAGGAGGAGAGGCAGAGAGGAAGATCTTCCATCTGATGATTCACTCCCCAAGTGAGCTCAACAGCCGATGCTATGCTGATCCAAAGCCAGGATCCAGGAACTTCTTCCAGGTCTCCCACGTGGGTGCAGGGTCCCAAAGCTTTGGGCTGTCCTCGACTGCTTTTCCAGGCCACAAACAGGGAGCAGGATGGGAAGTGGAGCTGCCGGGATTAGAACCAGCGCCCATATGGGATCCCGGCATGATCAAGGCAAGAACTTTAGCTGCTAGGCCACGCCGCTGGGCCCCATAAGCCTAATATTCTTAAGAAAGTTTTCAGTTTAACACCAGAGCAA